CTCTCTCTCTCTCTCTCTCTCTCTCTCTCTCTCTCTCTCTCTCTCTCTCTCTCTCTCTCTCTCTCTCTCTCTCTCTCTCTCTCTCTCTCTCTCTCTCTTTCTGTCGGCTTTAGTTACCCCGAGTTAAATCGGTATATTTCATTTAGGTGACTAGTTGTGGATGCACACGGATGTTTCACCGGGTAATAATGGCATCAGGCCAATACATCCGACGACTCCGATTGAATTGCCACGAAAAGAAACGATCTACGAATATTTTGTGTGCGATTCGCTTTGTGCCATCATCTACCTGTCTTTACCGACACCGTCTCTTTATACCGTTCTCTCCGCTTAAAGATCAAAGGCCTTACGGTCCAGTTTTTTTCTTGCGATATAAATATGATTGCGTGTTTTTGCTGAACTATCATTTATTATTTCAGCAAATTTTCATTTTTCTTAATTATGAAAAGTGTAGAAGTGTAAAAAGATAGAAGAATGAAAGAAAAGCATCATTGGATTATAAATTAGTGAACAATACGACTTGAAAAGTAAATAAATTAATAAAATATATTTTTATGAAAATTGAATTAGTCTTCTGCGAAAAATTGCCAATATGGTATCAATTTATTATGAGAGACAGAATATCAGATAATGTTATTGCGACTAATCGGGCAGTAAAGTTGTTAAAGTTGCATTAAACTCTTAATAATTTAAATGCTAGTTATACATCGAACTTTACAGGCAGAACTTCTGATTTGGGAATTTCTAATATTCAAGATTAAGCTTTAATACTTACTTTAACAGATTAAATTGGATTAATTATGTAAAATCCACAACTGTTTATTGATTAAAATTGCAAAACGTTAATTAATTACTTAAAGAGTTAATAGTTCCAATTATTTTAAAGTTGCAACTAATTGCAATTAATGTTTTATTTAATTAAAATTTTTGAAGAATCTAAACCTTATGTAAATATAAAAAAATGTTCCCTCCCCCCCATCATTTTTATATTTACCTCCATTGTCTGGGAATGATGCAGAGCTTTGATGGCATTAATTGCATACTGCTTACTAGCGAAGGTAACGAAGGCACAGGCTTTACTTTTCCCGGTGCTGTCCCTCAGCACCGAGCATTCTTCGATCATTCCGTAAGCGCTAAACATGTTCCTAACGTCGTTTTCCGTGAATTTTTTCGATAGCATGCCAACAAACAGCTTGCGTTCTGTAACAATAAAATAGAATTTCCTTTAATTATTTGTTGATGTGATGGCGCGTCATCATATCAAATATGCTTTAATAATCGATGGTCTTAATAAATTAAGAATCAATGAGAATGATCGTATGAATCGCCTTAAAGACAATGCACGATTATTCATCCTCGTGTATGATTAGTTGGCAAAAAATGTATTTGACTGACTAATCATACAATGGAATACTAGTGATTAACTATAGCTATAGCCAAGTGTCATTAGCATATTATATTACACGAAACTGCATAGGAGATAAAACAAGTACATTACTCATTTTTATACAAGTAAATATTAGTTGATAAATTTAATTGATATTTTATTATTATAAATTTTTGAATTATTGTAAATGTTTCTCTCTTATATATAATGTAACATATTTTTTCTTTTATTTTATTTAAATTTATGATGACTCTGACAGACGGAATTATCATTGGTAATTTCATAAAGAGCAGCATTTACTTATTCTAATAACTTTAATTTATTAGTTAATTAAGAAAGTTTAACTAATAACAATACAAAAAATTAAAGTAATTAATTTAAACGTTAGGACGAGAAAATAATTTACTAACGTTATGTAATACTCTATTTCGTCTATTCTTCTATACGAACTTAGTGTGTGTGTGTGTGTGTGTGTGTGTGTGTGTGTGTGTTTGCGAACTCGTTAAAACTTTTATAAATAGCTTTTGTAGATGATAAAGTATCATTCATAATACATTGTATAAACAATTAATATACCGTGAATTAAAAGTTAACATTTGTGATTTAACATCTTCTTGCGAGTAAGCGTCTTGTTACCTGTAACAAGCCAAAGTAGTAAGACGATATCAAGTGACATTCTACTAGTGTCTTAAACAAAATGTTTCAAAACGTTAATAAAACATCACTGAAACGTTATTCGACGTGACACTTTGTTTCTCTGAGAGCGGCGGATTATAATCGAAAAGACAGACCGGTGTTTTGTGCGACACGACACCGGTTTGAAACTTTGATTCGCGAATGCTGTCTTCGAGCTGATCGCGAATGACATCATGATTTCCCTACCATCTCGCCTACCGTTTAATAAGCATTTACGGATAATGCAGACTGGTGGCTGGCTATGGACCATTTGACGACGGCACCGACCACTGGAAGAGGCGACCTGGTCAATATTTGTTTAGGACCGGGAGAAAAGCTTCGCCCGGAGGAAAGCCGCTTATGTAAATTCGGCGTCAATCGGGGATAGGCTAGGCAAAATACTCGGATGTATCTCTCTCGAGTCTATATCCCCGTTTCTCCCATCTCTTTGTTCACGCGTATTCAATTCTCCGCGGTGTTAATGCGTCGCGGTGTTTATCTCCGCGAGATGCATAGGGGCGCATTAGGAGAATCGAAACAACAAAATTTCTGCGCTGAAATCTCATCGTCTGCGTTAAAATGCAAGCTTAATTCTTACGTAAATTCAAATAATACGCAACAATAATATTTTTTTGTCGTAGAGCTTATTTTGGAAAACTGTAAATCAATGGGAAACACCATTCTGCATATATGCGAGTAAAATTTTGCAAACTGTGAGAATGTTTATAAGGTACACACAGTACGATATAATAAATTCATAGAAACGTTTTCGTTTTGTCCCACCAACGACACGAACAAATGGCCTTTTTTTTTTTTGGGTGATAAAAATTAAACCTGTGTTCGCGTGTAATCATATCTGCGTATTTCACTTTTGAGAGGGAATATTAGATAGTGGCACGTCGTGTCGTATTAATATTTCAGTGCTCTAATAATACGAACTAATGTTAATATTAATATCGAATTCGCCGGCCAATAAGAAAGCTAAATATGACGAGCATCGAAAATCGTGACTGCACCATCCAAATGTTGCAATTCAATTCGCGCGTTATCAAAGGAACACGTTGCGTTTCGCGAGCTATTCCTGCTAGTGCGAATTGAAATCGAGTACACATCGATTTATAGTTGCGCGCGATGTGTGAAGTTGATATCAAATTCATACGATACGATTGCGTGCGATCGTATTTCTGGAAATCATCAATACGCTCTTTATGCGCAAATATAATTGCGGACGGCTAATAAATAATGCCATAACCGCGTCTTGTAATAACCGCTCTCATTATGTAATAAAATATAAATCCTAAATCCCGATACGACAGAGATATATTGCTTCGAAACGTTCGTTTATTGCTTAGATTAATATTTAAACAGATAAAAATAAAATCTTTCGTACGACAAATTCTTGGATAAAAATTATAATATATATGATAAGTCTTTGCGTTCTAATTGCTTTTCATTTGATCACTTTCATTTGTTTATTTATATATTACAACTATTACAGCTATTATTTATTAGCTATTATTTATCTCTTTTTTGCAATCTGCTTGATTGTGACAATTTGTGTGATTCTTACTTTTCCGTTCACACGCATTATTTTTTTAAATTAAATCGACGAAAGCAAGATGAATCGCATCCATTTTCCATCACTTTTATTTTTTGTGGCAATAATCCTGTTCACAGAGATACTGATTTTCGACCAGCGGTCATAAAACGCGAAATCTTTTGCTTTCTATACCAATTTAATCCACTCGGAAGAAAATTCCCCGTGACAACGATGTAACCCTTTACGTTATATTCAAGGGACTGTAAATGATCGAAACGTTCAAAAAGATGGGAAAAAAAAAATATTTCGAAACTCAAGGGAGTTTATCCAAAGTTGATCTATACCGCGGGAAAGAGGCAGAAAGGATGAGAAAAGCGCCGGATATATTGGCTCAAACCACGGCAAACTCGTCCACAGTTAACGATTTAATTAATTTTCGCAGCCCCCTAACGACCGGATAACCCGCGGTTGCCAGCGACGGATCGGATTTCCCGCGGAAATCGAATGAAAATTTTAAGCCCACGCACCCTTTCCCTTTGCGAGGAAAATACGATGTAGTAAAAAGGCAGCCCGTTTGGGGGCAGAAGACAAAATTCTCCTCCCTCCCGCGCCGTTTCTGCGTTCCAGTGAAACTGCGGCTTTCGCGGAATGTTTATTAAATACCAAAGGTGCTGGTTTGTGCCCTCCCCTTTTCTTCTAAACGGACCGAAATTTTCCTCCATTCGTTCCGACCGAAGGGGGATGAATATTATCCGCGTATGAAGGTCAGCGTATCGAGTATTTCGAGATCGATCAAGTGATGAAGTCGTGATCGGCCAGGATGGAAATAAAGAGAATGGATGTGATTTATCTTGGTTTCGTCGATTTAATTTAAAAAAAAAATAACACGTGACGGATACATGTGACGGAAAAGTAAGACTCACATAAATTATCGATCAAGTAGATTGCAAAAGAGATCAATAATAGCTAGTAAATAATAGCTATAATAGTTGTAATAAATAAATAAATAAATCAAACAACTGATAAATAATAAGAGAAAAATGAATAGGAGAAATGAAAAAGTACAAAATATAATGTTTACAAATCTGTGCTCGTCTTCCATTAAATTGACTAACATTGACTAAATTCAAAATTAATTAATTTCATCATTTGTTTAATTTAAACAATTTTCTAAATGGCAATAAATTATAGCCAATTCTTGGGAAAAAAAAAAAAAAACATGAAATAGGCACTCTATATCTTCAAATTTTTTTTTCTTAATCGTCAAAATCCTTGTTAAATACACGTATCATCACGTTAGATGTGTGCTCCAAATGCATGAAGAAAAAAGCAAGAGTTCTCAATCAATTATCAAATATCGAAATATTTTATAAATAAAATAGAGTGTAGAATTTTAAAAGTCACGTATGTCCTACATAAAACGATATATGCAGCAATATATAAATGTATGCATATATATTGCTAATTTTAGCTAATGCTTTTCCTACCGTGTGCCATGTGGGGGGCGCAACCATGTTGGGTAATGCCGAGCTTATTGTAATCACATTTGCACATGAGACTATTAACGTGGAAATAAAATAAGAGCGCGATACAGAGGCACCGGCCTCTGTAACTGCATTTGTAATGTAATTCACGTGCAAACTAGGTACGACGTCAGATCATGCAGTCGGATATGAGATGCAGATCGCGCCTGCCGGAATGTTTGCATCGCACCGAATATTCCGTTAGGATGTCTGTCTGCAGCACGTCGTCGCGGAATATGCACATCAAAGTATTGCGCATATTCTATCGATCGAACTTTATGAGATCGGTCCCGCGTAATAAACGAAAAGTCAAAACAAAAAGTCATTGTAAATTGAAAGCGTGGTGTAACTCTATACGCAAATGGTTAGCGCAACTGTTTGATTATTAATTAGAATTTCGACAAATACGACATATATATGCTTCAAACACCTAACGCTTTCATGGGAAAGATCGATTAAAATAATGTATTATTTAATTTAGAATTTTAAATTCATCTTAGCTAAAAATTTCGTTAGAATGAAATTTAAAATAATGACAAATTCGTGATAATAAATTATTTTCTTAAATAATAATAATAAATTTGCTACGTCTTTATTATTTTATTGCGTATACGGAATAATCTTATATAAGTGTTGAGTAGAATAAACACAATTTTTAATAATAATGTAATAAAAATATGCGGATTGTACTATTTACTTGTACTATTTTTGTTGTTGAAGTAAATCAGAGGCCTATTATCAAAGTAATATTGATACCATTAGCTTCGTGTAATGAAAAGTAATTTTTTTTTACTTTCCCTAATGAGATTAGTCAATGTTAATGTTAATATGTTAATTTACACTTTCCTCGCTTCCGCGAGGAAGTGCTTATTCGATACAAACAGGTGTTTGCTTCCACAAACAAAACGCTTGCGGCCAGCTGGTGGCCGATGCGGTCTTCTTTTGCGGAATTCTATTCGATTTGATCTCCTTCTATGCATCTCACAGGCTCGTTCACACTTGTTGCAATTAAATCCCAGCCTGCGAATGTGATAAATTTTCCAACGAATTTCCGAGCCGGGCATTCCAAATTTTC